AGGTGGGGGGTCCCCCATCCATGGGGGTATCTGTCGCGGGGGGTCTCAGGGTATTCAGCCAGGGGTGGGGGTATCCATGTGGGTGGGGGGGGGATCTCAGGGGGTTCTTTCCCCCTCACTAACCTGCTCTCCCCTCCCGCCCAGACCAACAAGGCCTCGGCCAAGGGCGATTTCCCGGGGGCGCGGGCGGCGTCGCGTCGGACCTTCGCGCTGGCCGTGCTCTCCATCCTGCTGGGCGTCTGCACCTACATTGGCGCCGTGGTCGCGCTCATCGCTTACCTGTCCGACAAGGGCCCCCCCTAGTACCCCCCCCCGGGAACAGGGGGTGGGGGGAAGAAGGCTGCCTGGACTGGGGGCGCCCCCCGACAGACGGGGGCCGGCTCCTGGACACGCCTGAGCCCAGCGCTGCGGGGATGGAGGCCAGTGGAGAGATTTGGACTAGCGGCTCTCTCCCCCCACCAGAGACATGGGCCCGGATGCCTGGGTTCACCAGGAGCAGGGTTTGGGAGCCTGATTCGTGGTGACCGACCGGACCTTCCCTCCCACCACACTTTCTTCCTTCCTCCTTCACGCCCCCCACTGTGTCCCCATTTTGTATGTTCCCCCTACCCCGGCGTTCCGCTCAGGGTCGCGCTCTGCCCGAGGGGCGCGCCCCATCCAATAAAGGCCCCGTGCACTTTGCCTGCATCCGCTGGGCAGCGAGGGGTCAGCCCCACAGGGGAGGGGTTAACGCCCCAGCCGGGGGGCTGCTTCCATTGCCCCCCGCTGCCCAAAGTGCTTGGAGGCCCATAGAGAGGAAGTGGGTTCTCCTGGAGCCAGGGGGTTGGGAGCCAGGACTCCTGGGTTCAATCCCCAGCTGCGAGGGGGGGTGGTCTAGTGGGTTACAGGGGGGGGAGGCTGGGAGCCAGGACTCCTGGGTTCTATCCCTGGCTGTGGGAGGAGAGTGGGGTCTGGTGGTTAAAGCCGGGGGGCTGGGAGCCAGGACTCCTGGGTTCTCTACCCCGACTCCCGGTCTGCCCTCAGCAAGTCCATCCCCCTCTTGGTGTCTCAGTTTCTCCCTCCAAACGGCTGACATCCTCATGGCGGAGACGATTCATCCTCAAACAAAGCAGGATGCAGACGCTTCCCACCAGCCCCCCGCGCTCTCCGCTGGGGGGGGATGCGGCTGCAGCCTCTCCCCTCGGGCCCGGAGCATCTGAGAGGCCCCACAGCTCCATCCCAGATGGATGGACCCTCACCAGCCCCGCTCTGGCTTTTTCAGTGAAAGCCTTAAATGTTACCTTGATCCCCGCTCAGGCGGAAAACTTCCCCCGGAGCCCGCATGGCTGGCTGGGAGACAGCTAAAATCCCCCCCACCCCGGTGCTCCCCCATCCAGCTCAACCCTCCCTGCCCGCCCCCCGGAGATTGGCTTGGGGCTGGGTCGGTTACACGGGGCTGCCCACACGGTCCAGCACCGCAGAGCGGGAGCGAACGGGGCCAGGCCCCCAGCGGCCGTGAATCAGCGTCGCTCCAGTTGGAGTCAACGGGGCCAGGCCCCCAGTGGCTGAGTCAGCAACCGAAAGCAAATTACAGCAGCCGAGCGGCTCCCGGAGCTATTCTGGGTTCACACGAGTGTCAGCAGGAGAACTTGGCCCTAAATTGGTTCAGGCTGGTGCCACCGCCATGAAATCAGCTCCCCAACCTGCCCCTCTCAGCCCAGGTTTTCTAATACCCCCCACACACCAGGAAGCCTGGGGTTAAAAACCCAACCCGTCCCTTCCCTTCCCTCTGCGACATCCCAGCTTTGGGCTAGAGGGGGGGTGGCCAGCCTGCAGGCCACACACGGCCCCCCTGGCGCATTTCAGGGGGCCGGGGCCAGGCACGGCCCCACCCATACATTTCGGGGGGCCCTGGCTGCAAACAGCCCTGCCAGCACATATCGGGAGGCCCCTGGGCCGCACACGGCCCTGCCCATGCATTTCGGGGGCCCTGGCCACACACGGCCTCGCCCGCACATTCCAGGAGGCCCACGTTCTGCTTCACCAGAATCTACTAACAGCCAATTCCTTGGCGCGCTGTGGTCACGTTCACAGCAGTTTCGGTGACACGGGGGCGTCAACAGCCCAGGTTAGCCAAAGCCCCCAGCTAAATACACATGAAAGCAGCAGCACTTGAACTATAAACCAATGTGCCCCCCTCGAGATGGCTGCATCTCAGCGCAGGGTGAGGGATCCGGGTATGAACAGCCCCTGGGCCCCACTCCACCCCAGAGGCAGCTGCATCTAAGCATTGGGTGAGGGGGTCACGGCGTCCCCGGGCGATGCTCTGGAACTGCTCCCTACGAAGCCAGTCAGGACTCTGGGGAGCCTCCTCTCCCTCGGAGCAGACTGTCTTCAGGGCACGAAGCTCACACGGCTTCACCTTCCTGGGTCTGACCTTGGAGCATTCAGCATATGCCCCTCCGTGCGCTTCCCACAGCGAGTCCGCCCAGGCGGGGTCCTGGGGAAGCCAGAGGGTTCTGCACCCCCCACTTCGCAGTCAGACGTGACTCTCAGCCAGCCAGTAACACAGAGGTTTATTAGACGACAGGAACAGGATCTAAAACAGAGCTTGTAGGTCCAGCAAATGGGACCCCTCAGCTGGGTCCATCCTGGGGGGCAGCGAGCCAGACACCCACGTCTGCCCTCACTTCCCGTCCCCAGCCAGTTCCAAACTGAAAACCCCCTCCAGCCCCTCCTCCTCTGGGCTTTGTCACCTGATCTCTTTGTTCTCCCACACCTTTAGAAATCCCCTTGCAGGGGGGAAGGCCCCTGGCCATTAGTTGCCAGGAGACAAGAGTGTCGGCCATTATGTGCACTGGCCCTTTGCTCTGCAACAATCTCACCCCCCCTAGAGACTTAAGAAATGCATAGGGGAAACTGAGGCACCCACACAGTATTAGAGGAAACATGAAGAACAGTCCCACTTCGTCAGAGAGGGGGCCCTGCCTATAGTCCCCATGCCCCACCCCAGAGGTGGCTGCATCTCAGCTCCTGGTGACAGGTCCCTGTAGCAAGTAGAAGAGCGTGAACATTAGCAGCCCCCCTGAAAACGGCGGGGCCATTGCGAGCCGAGAACTGCTCTGGACAGAGACGTTTTCAAAGCCAGGCAGCAGATTCAGCCGGCCCCCACCCCACCGTGGAAATTAACCGGAGTCATGCGGCTAAATCCCCTGGGCAGATTGGAAATGTCAAGGCACAGCTGGCTGGGTTGTTTCGGTGCAGAGCCCCGGGGTGGGGGCCGGGCGCCCGATTGCTTTTCAGCCAGCACCGCCGTCCGGCCAGCCCGGGCCAAGTCCTGCTGGTCCAGGCCTGGCCCACTAGCGATTTACGCCCAGCGGCTCGTGGGAACGACACCCCCACCGTGGCTGGGCTGCGGGGGGCGAGCCGGGGGCTCCGTTCTCAGCCCGGTGGGACAGACGCTGGGGTCTAACCTGAGCCCAACACCCCCCGGCTTATTAAATCATGCCGAGCTCTCTACACAGCTTGGGGGGGGTTTTCCGGGGGGGGGGGGGAAGGGGGGGTTGCGGCAAGATGTGAGCATAAAAAAAAAAAAACCCCATTCCCGTTCTACGCTGCCAGAGTCACGTCGCTGGCTCGGCCTCGAGCAGCGGGAGGGATCCTTGTCTGCTCCAGGGCCCGAGGAATTGGGGGGGACGTGTGAGAGAGCGGCAGGTCCCCCCAGGGCTGGCTCAGGCTGCAGGAGGTGAAATGAGGAGGAGGCTGGAAAGGGGGCAAGGAGACGGGTTAGAGCAGGAGCCGAATGGAGCTCGCAGCGCCGACGGGCAAGTGAAAGATCATTTCATCAAAGCGATTAGGCTCATTAACCAAAGCGGCTGCCTGGCTGCGCCGGGACAGGGAAGGAGCTGCAGTGGGGGGGGGGGGGGGGGGGGTGTGGGGGGGGGGAACCCCCCCCCACTACAGAATCCAGAGGGGCACGGCCAGGGGGTCCTGCCGGCTAGCTCCACGCAGGCTGTTTCCTCTGCTGCCCAGGCAGCGGCTGCCTCTGGGGTGGAGCACGGCGAGGGTTCAACATGGGAAGTGCAGCCGGTTCTTCTCCTTCGCCCAAGAGTTCCTTGGGGCAGCCCCAGGACAGACAGGATCTCCCCCCCACCCCCGGCTGGCCTGGGCCCTGCTCCCGGTGGGGGAGAGATCAGAGCACGGGGTCTCCCCGGAGCAGGCTGCGGGAGAAAGCCGGGGAACGAAGGAGGGGAGAAGGGAGGACACAGGGAGGAATGAACGTGTCCCCCACTTTCACCCCGGTGCACAGCGGCGCCCGGCTGCAGCCATCGTGCTAGGCTCAGGCAGGTGGGTTCGGCCCCCCGGTCCGGGGTGCGAGAAGGGGCGGGTCCTAGGGCTGAGACGGGTAAATAAAAAGGGGGAACGAGCCAATGAAAAGAGAGATCAGCCCCGTGAGTCACTGACAGTTCCCGCCTGGGTTTACACTCGATTTCCCCTGCAAATCCACCCCTGCCCCGAATCTCCTCCCAGTTTAACCCTCGCCACCCCCACCCCCAGCGCACACTGAGCAGGGGGGCTTGGCTGTGCTGGGAGCTGCCGCACAGCTGCGGTACACAAGGGGTTAACCGCGGGGCGGGGGGGCATTGCGGGCCAGGGCTGGCCCAGCTTGCTGACCGATGGGCTGAAACATCCGGCTGCAGAGGGGTCCAGATGCCCCCCCCCCGGCTCTGCCAGGCAAGAGCCCCCGGGCAGCAGGGCCAGGTGGAGATTGGCACTGGGAGGGGAGACCAGCACCCCCGCCGGGCCTCAGTTTCCCCCGGTCGCGTCCGCAATGAGACAGCCGGGGCCCCGTGGAGCTCACGGTCGCCGGGGCGCAGTGCCGGGAATTCGGCTGCCCGCCGGCTCCGCTGGAGGGAACGGAAAAGCCAGCAGGGGCAGATCCCCGCAGAGCAGCGGTGGGCGTGGGGGGGAAAATCGCACGGTCAAGGGACGCGCCGCGTCCCACACACGGTGCAGACGGCTGGCTGGACACACGGGGGGGACACCCCCTTTTTAATGGGCACCGCAGCACAGAGTTCATGGTGGTAAACGCCGGGTTTGGGGTGATCCGGACGCAGCCTGCACGGCCGGGCAGGAACCGGGAGCGGTTTGACGGATCCGGGGCCTCACGCCTTGGAGTATTTCCTGCGGACGGAGTCCCGGTAGAACTGGAAGATGGTGCCGCTGGCCCGCTGGGCGGCCGCGATACACTGCTGCAGCTGGGGAGGAGCAGGGAGACGGGCGGTTAGAGCGGGGGGACCCCAGAGACAGGCCCCCACGGCAGGCTGGGGCCGCGAAGGAGGCTCTCCGCTCTGCCAGGGGCAGGGTGGGACCATTGCTCTGACCAACCTGCCCCAAGGGGCTGGGGGGGGGGGGGGGGGG